CTCCCGACCAGCTCCGAGTGGGCGGTGCGAGCGCTGCGCGGGCCGAGGCGGGGCGGCCGCGAGGGGCGCCAAGGGGCTGGGTGGCGCCTGTACCCGAGCGGCGTGGGTGAGCGCCGGGCCCCAGATGGGGGCTGCGCTCTGTCCCGAGACGGTCCCGCCCGACCCCAGATCCGCGTCGGTCGAGGCCCTCTCCTCCACGCAGCCTCTTATGCAAGCCCAGACATCGCTGCCTCTCCCAAGTTGGGCTGTGAACCGCATGGTTCTGACTGCTCGGGGACGTCTGTGAGCCTCGCTTTCTTCATCCATAAAATCGTACACCGGGAACGTAGCGAAAGGAATGCGCTGACTTAGGAGTCAGACGATCTAGATTTGAATCTCAGTTCGAGTACTTGCCAGCTCTATGGTCTTGGATGAATACTTCAACCTTTCTGTGCTGCAGTTTCCTCATCTGTAAAATGGGGCCAATCTGATAGATATGATGGGTCTGGAGATATGTCTCTCTATTCATTTATGTCTGGAAGAATGCAACCCAAACTCGGAATTGGTGGTGACACCTGGAGAGGGGTGTGGGGCTGGGGGAGGGAAAAACAGGCTTTCACCTTTTACTCTATATGCTTATATGTTGTTTGAATTTTTAACCAAAAGCGTTATCTGTGTTATCAGTTATGTTAAAAAATAAATAGTGTATATCAAATGGCTGACATGAGTAGACAATAAATGGTCACTACTATTTTTAATTTTTTTTTGCCATTCACTCATGAACCACAGTCATGTATTGTTGGATCTACTCAGTATTTTAAAGCTTTTGTTTTTTTCAGTAACTTGTCAATATTTTAAAACCAGGATACTTTACATTTTCTCTTGAAAAACAAAAACATAAACATAGAAGCTCTAGCAACAGTGTTCTGCATCCCCACAGAATAGCAGGGTCTCAGATGCTCCCACCTAACATTTCTCAAGCACCTTTTGCACTTTGTGCTGGGGGCACAGTTAGAAGACAGTCTCCAGCCTCAAGGAATTGGGTCCAGTTGGAGACAGCCACAGGGAGGTAAGTATTGGACTCAACAGAAGCAACTGTTATCTCTAAGAGATGAGGGAAGTGAAAATATAAATGCTTTTAAAACATAAGAATTGTATCCTTATTTGAAGTTTAATATGCATCTTTTGTTTTCTCAATAAATCCCTAGGGCTGGCCTGGTGGCGTAGTGGTTAAGTTCGCCCTCTCTGTTTCGCGGGCCCAGGTTCACAGGCCCTGATCCCTGGCGCACACCGAGGCACCGCTTGTCAAGCCATGCTGTGGTGGCGTCCTTTATAAAGTAGAGGAAGATGGGCATGGATGTTACCCCAGGGTCAGCATTCCTCAGCAAAAAGAGAATTGGCAACGGATGTTAGCTAGGCTAATCTTACACACACACAATAAATAAATAAATCCCTAAGTTCTTTCAAGGCAAGGACTATTTATGCTACTTTGTATCAGCTATATTTTTTAATATTTTGTATTTGTGTTTTGTTTTGTTTTTTTTTAAAGATTTTATTTATTCATTTTTTTCCCCCCAAAGCCCCAGTAGATAGTTGTATGTCGTAGGTTCACATCCTTGTAGTTGCTGTACGTGGGACTCAGCCTCGCGTTGGACGGACAAGTGGTGCCTTGGGGCGTGCCCGCGATCCGAATCCGGGCCGCCAGCATCAGAGCGCGCGCACTTAACCGCTAAGCCACGGAGCCGGCCCCTTGTGTTTTGTTTTTTGTATTGGTAGGGTTAAAAGAAATATTTTAATTAGAATGTTATAGAATTGGGCGGGTCCCGTGGCTTAGTGGTTAAGTGAGCGCGCTCCGCTGCTGCCGACCCGGGTTCGGATCCCGGGCTCGCACCGACGCGCTGCTTCTCCGGCCATGCTGAGGCCGCGTCCCACATACAGCAACTAGAAGGATGTGCAGCTATGACATACAACTATCTACTGGGGCTTTGGGGGGAAAAAATAAATAAATAAAATCTTAAAAAAAAAAAAAAAGTTATACAAAAAAAAAAAAAAAGAATGTTATAGAACAAATGCATCCCAGGTGCCCAGGCCTGCTCTCCCGACTTTTCCACCCAAGCTGAGAGGCCTATGGGCAGGGGGGTAAGCTGGCTGGGGACACCTTAGACAGCTGTTATTTTGTGGGGTTGAAGAAAATGTTGCTAGAGCTTCTATTTTTGTGTTTTTGTTTTTGTTTTCTTCATCTAAGTTTTTAAATTTTATTTATTTATTTCTTTTTTATTGTGGTAACATTGGTTTATAACAGCATATAAATTTCAGGTATACATCATTGTATTTCAATGTTTTTGTTTTTCAAGAGAAGTTATAAAATACCCTGGTTTTAAAATATTGACAAGTCACTCAAAAAACAACTTTAAGACACAACATACACCCCACAAAACATAACTGTTGGTCAGATTTGCCTGCAGGCTTCTCATTTTTGCCTCTCCTTAAAACATCCCCAGTCTGGGGACCGGCCCGGTGGCGCAAGTGATTAAGTGCGCACGCTCCACTGCGGCAGCCCAGGGTTCACCGGTCCGGATCCCCGGCGCACACCGCACTGCGTGGCAAGCCATGCTGTGGCGGTGTCCCATATAAAGTGGAGGAAGATGGGCACAGATGTTAGCCCAGGGCCAGTCTTCCTCAGCGAAAAAAGAGGATTGGCAGATGTTAGCACAGGGCTGATCTCCTCGCAAAAAAAAAAAAAAAAATCCTCAGTCTTTGTCCTGTATTCCCAAAGAGTTTGGGAAGATAATGGGTTAATCCCCCACTCCCAGGAGGGGTGGTTTATCCAGGGACTGGTGTTGACTCACAGTCCTAACCCAAAGGCATATTTATAGTCCTGGATTTGGAGGGCAAGCCCCTTTGCTCCAACCTCAGAGCACAATGAAACGCCCCACCCTGGCGGGCAGAGGAAGATATTTTAGGTCAGGGACTTTTCAGTGCCCCACAGTTACACCTCATCAGCAGTCACTTATCTACAAGGAAGCAAACCCCAGGACAGGAAGGTGGGACTGAAGACAGCAGAGGCAGAAGGGAGCCTGGGAGGAGGGAAAAGGTCTGCCTTTGACATTTGTAACTGCAGTGAACTGAAAGTCAGAAATAGTCCTTTCCATTAAGATGTGGCTGCAGACCAAAGAGCTCACGAGATTTACTACAGCTGTCACCTCCCATGACTTGGTGGTCTGAAAATACTGTATAAAGAAAAGAATTTCCTATGCCACAGCAACTTATGAAAGACCAGATTAAATTTGTGGACACTCTCTCAAGGATAAAAAGAAGTTTCTTAAAAGATTATGTAATAAGTAGATGTTGACCCAAAAGTATCTCTAGGGCTAGGACAGATAAAGGACAAAGAGAAAGGACAGACTGAGTGATGGTCTGACTTTGGACTGGGCAGAGTGATTTAATAATAATCATGTTGCTAACACGTATACAGCACTGCCTCTGTGCCCGGGGCTGTGATGAGAGCTTCACACATTACCTCAGGCAGTCCTCATCGTCACAGATTTGGAAACAAAGAGAAATTCAGTAATTTGCCCCAAATCTCACAGCTAGAAACTGTTATCTGCATATATCGTGTGCAAGTGAAATTTTTGAGAAATTTAGCTGAGTTCTCTTAATAATTTTTTCTTCTGGTAGTAGATTAAGACAGTTTTATTTGTTTTGAGCTAAATAACATTTTAAGCTAATGTTTCCTGTGAGACATTGTCCCTATTCCAAGATCATGCTGATGCGAATGCTGATGCCTACGGGGCGGGGAGGGGGCCAGAAACTAATGTGTAACTGTCTGTCTTTTGGTTTGTGGTCATAGCAACCGTTTTCAGAAAGCCTGATGTTTGCCTTTCTGCCTCTCAGAATCATGGTTTGCTCAACTCCTTTGTTCCAGAAGAGCCACTCTCTTCCCAGTGGCTACACACCAGGCTGGTCTCCAGCCGTTGATTCCCAGTGTCCGGTCATGTCATTTCACACTGTTTTCTTTCACTGATGCCATTCTTCTGACCATTTGGCTTTGCTTTGGCCCGGTTAGCTCACACCCACAACAGTTATGAGAACAGCCTATTGTGACCTGTTCTCTACAAGGAACCTGGAGGGTGGGGACCACCTGGCCATGTTTACCTTTGTATTTACCACCTCGCCTTGCACATAGTAGGCATTTAATAAATGCTTGTGGGATGAGCCCATGAATGAGAACTAGTGAGCACTGCCTCAGCTCTGGCCACATTCTAGCACTTCCTGGTTGTTGTCTCACTCCATCATGGCTGAGCTGGCTCTGGGGTGATGAAATGATGCAGAAATAGGATGTGACCTGTCTGGTGAGACGAGGACCAAGATGTGAATGGGACATTCTGGTCTCCCAGTCACTGCTCTGGAGATGTTAAATTTCATCAGAAACTCCCAAAGCCAGAATTCTTCTTGGTTTGATTTCCATATTTCAATCTAACATTGCCTCTCGGGCAGGTCCTGGGGTTCTGGGTGACTTTGCCTCAGTATCGCCCTGAGCCATATGTCTGCTCATCAGCATTCGGAAAACAGGAAGTGCTCAGTAAATGTTTATGGAATTGAATGAATTGATCAGACATAACCTTGGCAGCCATTAGGTTTACAGACTCA